AGGGGGTGCGGGGGAGGAGGGGAACCTTTAGGACTGATTCTAGGGACTCCTCATTGGGGTCAGGGGCTCGGGGGTCAGGACAAACACGGAGGCCGGGGCCGGGGGTAGAGCTGGGGCCTGGGCCCCGGGCTTGGAGCTCTAGACGCAAATGTGCGCTCAGAGGCGCGGGCAGCAGGGCACCTGCAGTAGATGGAGGAGATGGCGTTGGACCAGTCGCCAAAGATGCCCCTGCGGTACTCTTCGAGGCGCGGGTAGCTGCCGGTCGAGAACTTGCGCGTCTTGCCGCCCTTGCCGCGGCGGGACCACACGGTGACCTCACAGCGCTGGGCCACCACGAGCGAGGAGATGACGTTCGTCCAGCCGGAGGGCAGGTAGGGCAGGTCGGCGCCCGGCTCCACCGCCAGCTCGGCGCCCCTGCAGCAGTTCTCATAGTAGGGGTCGCTCTTGTCGTAGAACTTGGCGCAGATCCGCGTCCCGTTGGAGCTCTTGAGGTCAGCGGCCGCGGGGCAGGCGCCTCGGATGCCAGGGACGGCGGCCAGGACCAGGGCCAGCAGCACGGGGCACAGTGGAGACATGGTGGCGCTGACGCTAAGGCTCCACCGCCAGGGCTTTTATGCGCCTGACCGTGGGAAGGGAGAAGCTGTGAGATAAGGAGCTGGGGAGGGAGGGAGAGGGCGCCCCCTCCCCCAGGAGCCGGAGACCTTCATAGCCCAGACTGGAAACCCACAACTGATAAATACAAGATAGACGTATTTGTATAAAACTCAGCAACCTAAGATTTCATGTGGCAAACAGCATTGTGAAGGAAGTCAATGAACAGGACTTAACAGGACTGGAGGACGAGTCACTTGCAACACAGAAGATAACATAAAGTTGATAGGTATAAATAAGTAGTAAGAGCTTTTAAAAATTGAGGGAGTGTAACCAGCACCAGCACCCCTCCTCCCCCCGCCTCCCCTTCCCCCCTCAAACACACATGAGCACAGAAGGAGAGGCTGAGGGAGGGGAAGGGGAGGCGGGCCTCCAGGATGGACAGGTCCCAAGACCTTGAGAAAGGAGAGGCTGGGAATAAGGAGAGGCCTTGGAGGGGAACTGGTGGAGAGGGGCACATGACATACGGAGAAGCTTCTCTCTCACCCCTTCCCTCTGGGGCAGGAGATCTTCTTAACGGAAGGTGGGGGACCCGGAATCTGTAAACTCTGAGATAGACCTATTTGCATTAACACTTAAAAACCATTGCAAAGCAATGTACAAAAGGCTCGGGGAAAGTAGCTGTAGCATACAAAGAGTGATTACAAACTGACAAGAAGCGATCAAACACCCTCCCCCGCCCCAACCCCTCACTGGGTAAGCCTAGGAGCGAGAGGGAGAGGGAACAGGAGGTCGCCACCCCTCACCACCGCTCCCTAGGAGCCAGGAGATTTCCCACAAGGTTGAAAATCTTGTATCTATAAAATAAAGAGGATCTATTGAAATATATAAAACTTTAAAACTCCTGTATAGCAAAAACAAACAAACAAAACCTAGTCCGGGGATAAACAGACAATACTTGTAACATACGATGAACGCTCACCCATCAGCAAGCAGAAATGACACAAGCCAAAAGAAAAATTAGGGAGCAGCACAGGAAGGAGAGGGAGGCTGGGATCTCAGGGTGCGACAGGGCCCGGGGCACCTGGGAACCTGGCTAAGGCCCTTCGGAGGCTCTTCGGAGTTCCTGGACTCCTGCCAGACAGGTACAAGGTCCCGAGTGTGGACCAGCTGCTCAGACAGACAACAACAGTTCAAGTCTGTGGCTCTGTGGGTGAGTCCAAGTCTGAGCCAACGTTTCCTCGACTGTAAAGTGGGTAACATCTCTTCCTACACTATAGAATTGCTGTGAAGATTATAAAGGATGATAGAAAGTGCGAGGCTTAAAGGAACGACCTATGGATCCAGGCTGCCGGAACCGAGTCCCAGCTCCTCCATGAGCTTGTGCACATGCTTCCACCGCTGGGCCTCATGGAGACCACGGTGGCACCCACCTCAGAACGCTGGCATGAGAGTGAATGGAGTGACCCCCATAACAGCACTCTCAATAAGGCCCTCAATAAGTGCCATCGGAGAATTTGCCATTGCTGTTATTTTGAAAGCCCTGAGCACGGTGCCTGGCACACAGTAGGGGCTCAATAAATGTAAACAGGCACAACACAACACTGACAACAATCTGCCATTATCCATGGTCACTTGGCTGACGCTACTCCCTACTGGTCCCTCAGACGCTGTCCTCCATTTTGACCAGGGTACTGGCAGTGGTTAAGCACCAAGGGCTGGAAACGCAGGAGTGGGTTCGAATTTTGACTGTCACCTTGCTAAGTGACCTCGCTTACTGTAACCTTGGGCAAATGAACTTACCTCTCTGAGCTTCAGTTTCCTCCTAACTTCATTGGGATCATAGACTATTATAATAGAAAATAACATAAATTAACTTTATATTATGAAGTAACTTAGAATTCATATTCATAAACATGAACAACCACATAATTGTTTTTTATAAATATAATATAAATACTTAACATGTAATATTGAATAAAATAACAGCAGAAATATAAAGCGCGAAGTATAGCGCCCAACACACGGTAGGTGCTCAATAAATAAGACCTATTATGGACTATTCATATAATGATTCTGAAATCCTGGACCCTGGCTTGGCCCTGCCCCAGACTAGACCTGGATCCTTCTCCCTCCTTTCTTCCCATGACCCCACGAAATCTAATCTCCAGCCGCTAACTTCCCAGCCAGCCTCCTTGACCTCAGTGACACAGAGCCCCCACCCTCTCAGCTCCGCAAGGGCCCAACTCTGGGACTGAGACAGGTAAGTGTAACACACTTGGATGCAGTCACCTCCTAGGAGGCCAAGAGCTTCAGACGTGGACGGCGACATGGGACATAGAGACCCTAAGAGGGAGGCAGACCCGGGGACAGGAACACACGACCCACCGGGCCACAGGACACAGCACACAGCCAGCGTCAGAGAGAACCCACAGAGATCACAGCATTCTCAATCCAGGGACACACACACGGGCAGGGAGGAGGGGACCCCCTTCACACAGTCGGCCACTGATGGTCGCTGAATCTCATTAGTGAATTCTAGAGAACTGTACCCACTGAGTGTAGACACATGCTTGATACACAGTCCCAGAAAAATACAGTCCCACACAATGTGTCCCCAACAGAATCACACACCTACCATGACCAACAAGCCCCCAGCCCTCAACCACTCTACCCTACACCCTACAAACCCTCAAACTCAGAGACTCACTGACACGCCTGCGTGAGCACACACACGGCATCTTCATCCAGAGACAATTTCCTCACTGTTTATTAACACAAACTGGACAGATAGTCGAAAAATAAGTATCTCATTGCACATTTTGTTTTCTTCAATTGGAAGAATGTCTTGCCTTTGAGAAGCCCATGAGCCCTTGAGAAAGTCAGATAGTAAATCAATAATTCGAACACAATGCGAAGAGTTATAACAAGTACTGCAAAGGACTCTGGGAATGCAGTAAGAAGAATAACAGGTTTTTTTAATCCACTGATATATTTCGATGCATATAATAAAAAAATCCTCCTTTTCAGATCTCACAACCTTGATTGGATATTTTTCAAACAGAAATTGCCACTAGAAGAAAAAAGAAAGTATTAGTCTCAATCGGGGTACTCGAACATAACATTATCGGTGGCACATGGTTTAAATGAAAACGTGAAGTCTGTTGCATAAATACAGGAAAATATTCAGATAGGTACTTAAGCTCACACTGGAGCATCAGAACTCATTAATTACACTTCCGTAAAGATGCCATTGAATGGGATTATATTTCTCAAGGGCTAATATGACCCTCCAAAGCAGCCATGACCGTGTGATTTGGAAACAATGGTTCTCAAAGTACAATCCCTCCACAGACAGCATCAGCATCCCTTGGGGACTTGTTAGAATTACAAATTCTCAGACCTACCCCAGTCCTACTGAATCAGAAATTCTAAGGGTGGAAACCCAACAACCTGAGTTTTTACACGCCCTCCTGGTGATTCTGATGCACTCGAGCATGCAAACCTCCAAGGCTTCATATGTCACTGGCTATTTATTACACCTAGAATTTCCTGCATTGATACCTTAATTTTCTCAGCTCATATAAAGCTTATTTCATATAATTTTTGCAATTAAAAAAAAATTCATGAGCAAAAGAAAGAGGGACCTCCCTGGGGGTCCCAGGTGGAAACTCAAGAGACAGTGCCTGGAACCCAAATGACCAGAATGAACTTGAACTTCTCCAACACAGAAGCTAGGTCAGTCATTATCTAACTTTAGGACAGAGCTGGAGACAGTTTTCTCAAATACACCTGCCCCGGGTGAGGAGCCTTGTTTCCAAGTCTCCTTGGGTCCCAGGGCCCCCTGGAGATCCAGGTCAGAGCTACTCAACACTAACTGTGCCGCAGGTCATTTGGGGGTGGGAGTGGGGATGGTGGGAGGGTGGGAGAGGGTCTTGTTACAATAGATCCCGAT